TTCAATGAAAGATGTTAAAAAACCTATCAGTTTAAAAATGCATTTATATGCATAAAAATAACATATTTCAGATGAATAAATTAAACAACAAAGTATACATGAATTTTAAAATGTAAAGGTGAAACATGAAATATGAAAAACTAAAAAAAATCATGTGATTATTACCCTTTTATGGATAGCAACAATGTACATTATTTAACCACATAAAAACTCAAAATGTTAAAACAGAATATTCTTGCTGAAATATCACAAAGGGTTAAAAAACTTCATACATAAGGGCTTATAAAAATCATTTGGCAGGGGGCTGGATCAGAAGCAGAGCAGCCAGGCTCCAACCACCACTCTGGCATGGGATACCAGTATCTTTCAAAGCAGTAGCTTAACCTGCTGAACCACAATGCTGGCCCCTCCCCCACAGATCTTGAAATTATTTTTAAAACTAGTTCTGTCATTCTGTTCCCTGAAGAATGAGTTTAAGAAAACCTTGACAAGTGTTCACCAATAAGCTGTGTGAAAATTACGATTAATAGATGTTATGTCTATCAAGATTACCCCAGAGTTCAAGGTCTTAGGACATTATACCACTTAGAGGCTACATTGTAACCTTTATGCCTGCATTTCCCATATTAAACTTTTTATGCATGTGTCTCACACAATTTGTGAACTTTATCTTAATTATAGGTTTCAGGTTAATATTGGCCCCAATCATCCCTCAAAAGGTTAATCATGTTTTCATGCATCTTCCTTTTGTCAGTATGGGCCTATCTTTTTCCTTTCTTTGATATTCAATTTGGACTCTGGAAATATGAGTTCCTGTTGGGGGATAGAATAGATTTCTAAATTAGAGAACAATAACTGAAAGCGCACTAATTGCTATGACCTGAATGTTTATGCTTCTCTCTTACCCCAAATTCATGTGATTAAGCCCTAGTTTTCAAATGTGATGGTATCTGGAGGTGTGGCCTGGAGAAATCATTAACTTTACATGAGATAATGAGGGTGAATTCTACCATGTATTAGCTTTGCATTACTACAATGAAATAGCTGAGGCAACTAATTTTTTAAGGAGGAAGGGTTTATTTAGCTCAGTTTTGCAGGTTAAAATCCAAGATTGAGTGGCACCATTTCTTTGGCCTCTGGAGGAGTGGTAAAATGGCAATGATGGAGTCTGTGCAGAGCAAAACCCATGACTAGCCAGAGGTAGGGAGATAGGTTGGGCCCAAATTAGGCTATTATTTCCAGCGCTTTCATGAGAATTAATTTCCAAAGGCAGACTGCCAATTACCTAAAGATTTCCTGCTAGGTTCCACATCCTAAACACCAGAGTTGAATGAAATTTCCACTCTTTTTGTACCATTCATTTATGATTTTGGTGTTTAAACATCTGCATGAAAGCTAGGGCCAAATCACATCCAAACAATACCATCCAATGATTACATTAGTGCCCCTATCTAAAGAAGAGAACAGAATCCTCCTTCTCTCTCTGCCATGTTAGATTATTCAGCAAAGAGGGCATAAAAACCAGAAAGAGGGGCTTTACGATGTTGAGGCTAGCACTGTGGCATGACGGGTAAAGCCACTGCTTGTGACACCAGCATCCCATATAGGCACTGGTTTGTTTCAGCTGTGCCACTTCCAATCCAGCTCCCTGCTAATGGCCTGGGAAAAGCAGCAGAAGATGGTCCAAGTGTTTGGCCCCTGCCATCAACATGGGAGACCCAGATTGATTTCCAGACTCCTGGCTTTGGCCTGGCCAAGCCCTGGCCATTGTAGCCATCTGGGGAGTGAACCAGTGAATGCAAGATCTCTCTCTCTCTCTCTCTCTCTCTCTCTGTAACTCTAACTTTCAAATAAATAAATAAATCTTGTTTTAAAAAAAGAACAAGAACATGATATTTTGGCAGGAAGGAAGATTTGGTATGATAAAACTAGTACAGCCCAACAACTCCTTAATAGAGTCATTTCAACAGGAGAAGGAAAATCACAAAATTTTTGTTGATGGGGGTAAGAGCTTACCAACTTTATTTAAATAACATGCAATAGGTCTCTGCCCATTCTACCTGCCTCCAGGGTCAGACACACATTACAAGGAATATGTTGAACTTATTACTTGGCCATGTAAACTGTTTCCAAATACTTTGCACCTTACTGCAATAGAATCTATGATTATACTTAACAGTGACCATGCCTAACACATTGTCCTTTGTGCTCATCCAGGAAAGCAGACTACCAGACCAGGAATTGGCACCTCATTATTATCTGGGCTTCAGTTGGTTTGAGAATACTGTGAATAATTAAAGCTTCATTTCATTAAGCAATTTAAAGTTTTCTTCTGACTTCAAGACTTTGACTTATCAAAGGCAAAATTACAAGTAAATTATAGTTTATTCGGAGTAACAAAAACATTATCAAAAACATTATCAGATGATACACCTTCAGCTCCTCATGCAGCCTCACAAACCACAGTATGTGAATGGTGCTATGGTTTAAAACTTTTGTCCTTTCCAAATTTCATCTTGAAACTTAATCTGCAATGTGAAAGTATAAGGAAGTGTGGCCTTGCTGTTTAGGTCATGAAGGGAATGCCCCAATGAATGGACTAATGCTGTTTAAAAAAAGGCCTGTAAGATTGTCTTCTTCCACCATACGAGGACATAGCATTGAAGCTCTTGTGTCCTTCAATCTTCCACCATGTAAGACCTCTGCAAGAATGCCCTAGTCAGATGCTAGAGATTTGATCATTTTAAGAATCATTTATTTGGGCCAGCGCCATGGCTCAATAGGCTAATCCTCCACCTTGCGGCGCTGGCACACTGGGTTCTAGTCCCAGTCGGGGCACCAGATTCTGTCCCGGTTGCCCCTCTTCTAGGCCAGCTCTCTGCTGTGGCCAGGGAGTGCAGTGGAGGATGGCCCAAGTCCTTGGGCCCTGCACCCCATGGGAGACCAGGATAAGTACCTGGCTCCTGCCATCGCATCAGCACGGTGCGCTGGCCGCGGCAGCCATTGGAGGGTGAACCAACGGGAAAGGAAGACCTCTCTCTCTCTCTCTCTCTCTGTCCACTCTGCCTGTCAAAAAAAAAAAAAAAAGAATCATTTATTTGAAAGGGAGGGAGGGAGGGAGGGAGAGAGAGAGAGAGAATGAATGAATGAATATGAGATCAATCTTTCATCTCCTGGTTAACTTCCAAATGGCAGCAACATCCATATCTGGGCCAGGCTGAAGACAAGAGCCAGGAACTCCATCCAGGTATACCACATGGCGGGGGGGGGGGGGGGGGGGGCAAGTACTTGGGCCATCTTCCACTGCCTTTCCAGGAGCATTAGTAGGGAGCTGGATCAAGAAGAGGAGCAGTCAGAATTCAATTCAAACTGGCACTCCAACAGAAGATGTCAACAACGTAAACAACGGCTGAACCCAAACAATATCAGTCCATAGGGACTTGATCTTGTAATTCACAGCCTCTAGAACTGTGAAGGAATAAATGTCTATTATATATAAATTACCCAGTCTGTGAATACTGTCACAGCAGCACAAAATGGACAAAAAACGGCAAAAGCTTACCTGTTACAATGAACAAAGAGGAAAATCATGAAAACACATAGCTGTATTTGACTCCTCTACCTCATCCATGTACTGGAAAATGGCCCAAACTAGCAATGGGGCAAAATTTGACATTGCATCAGAACAGTGCCCTATAAGACTCCATATGAGTATCATATATTTTATTAAAATATTGTATTTTGTTGACCAACAATTACTGAGGGAGTACAGTCTTTTTGCAACACCAAATATGAAATTAAGCTGCACTTAAATAATGAGTGATAATGATTTCTCTGCTCATTAACAGAGTTTATATATACTTTTAATGCTTTTTGTATCACAAACAAGGTTTGTAAACTAAATGAACAATCTCATGTCTGCATTTGTTACACTTCTTATAATACCAAGGATCTGGAGATGCTTCTTTAAAACACTTGTATAATTCCACTCATTTTCTAAATAATGGACTTTTTTGTGTGCTTTAAAAATATTTATTAATGTATTGATAAGTGAACAATATTGATGAGGATTAAATAAATTCTGAAAGGAATGATTAGGGATTATGAGAACCATACAGGTTAATGTCCATACTAAACCACTTGGCATACAATTAGTCAACAATTATAATATTTCCTGTAAGCAAAATATTTACACAGTAACTGAGAATGTCTAAATGTAATTATTTTGCTCAAGATGCTAAAATATAAAGCATTTTTTTAAAAAGAATTTTACCTCTTTTAGGAAAAATCCTACTTTGTTTCCATTGATTATTGAATTTGATTATTCTGTGATTCAGTTAAACATAGCTATGGCGAGAAAGAGTCAATTAGGAGATTTTTGATTGCTTTACTTTTAATAGTTTGGGGGAGAATAACACAGGGCTAAAACATCCTCTGGCTCCCCCTTTTAACTGGCCAGTCACTCAGACTGCCTTTTCACATTAGTTAGCTCACCTCACTGGTGATCCCTTGGGAATTTGCAGAAGTGCACAGCATCACTGGAAACTAAGAAAATGTTCAAAATGTTTCTTGGGATTTGAAAATGAAAATAAAAAAAATCAGAGTAAATAAAACTTTCACAGCTGCTTAGAAACAATGAGTGTATAAATTTTATATTTTATAACAATTTGAGACTTGGGCTTTCAAATAACTTTTGAGAAATAAGGAAATCATTTCAATGAACCCTTATGGATGAATTCTCAAATCACCTAGGGGAAAAAAAGAGAAGTAAAGATTCATTTCCAAAGAGCTATGAAACATTTCTAATAGCATTATAGGATTCAGCACCAGCGACAGAATGCTCAGTGGTAGGTTCTCCATCCCCAGGACCACGGCAGGAGTGGAATCTTGATTTAGGATGGTCCAAAGAAACACTGAAACAGGTCATGCGGTTTCTGAACAAGATACAGACCCGCTTTGTAGGAGCACGGAGGGAAAGGTGGCACACTCAGTGAACGCAGTTTCTTATTGGACAGGGTCTGACATTTATTGAAAGAATGGAAAGACTTCTGTACAGGTAGTGTAAAAGAGCCGCGAAGACCACAGGGTCATAGTGTGGGACACAAGGCACACATCAGAGAGACAGCTGCACGTTCGGAAGAACCGGGACTCGGGGGGGCGGGGAGAACTACTGTCATGTCCACGGGAGGACGTGACAGGCGCGATTCAGCGCCCAGACCCTCAAGGTGTCTCTGGGAGGAGGGGGCGCGGCCTCACTCATGGTGGGAGGCCGGCTGGCCCCGCCGGGCAGCCGGCTGTCGGAGTCGGGGTCCGAGGGCCGCGGCCAGCCCAGACCCCTCGGAGGGGAGTCCAGGTGGCTCAGAAGAGCAGTCTGTCGGCGGGAGGCCGGGGGCGGCGGCGGCGGCGGCGGCGGCGGCGCAGGTGCGTGGGCAGAGCGATGCGGGCTGGCGGGGGGCGGCCGGCGGTGCGTGGTTGGTCGTCGGCCGCGCGGCGGGGGCCCAGCCTGCAGCCCGAGGGCCGGACGGCGGCCCCCGGTGCAGGGCACAGGCCGGGCCGGCGGCAGCGGGCAGGGCGGCGGCGCTGTCCAGAGCCAGGCCCAGAGGCAGCAGCGCCAGCCTGGAGCGCTATTCCTGGAACAAAGGCAAGCACGACGCGGGCGGGCGGGCGGGGGCGAGGGGACGCCGCGGCGACTCGGGGAGCAGGGGGGCGGCGGGACTCGACTCGGGCGCGAGCGCGGCGGGGGCCGCCCGCGGCGACCCTGGCGGCGGCCGGCGGGCAGCCCACCCTCCCCAGGGCAGCCGGCCCCGGGCCCGAGGCTCCGGCGGCCTAGAAGTCCTCGTCCTCCTCCCAGCCAAAGACGCGCTTCATCTCGGCCAGAAAGCCCCGGTAATCACTGAGGAGGGGACTGTCCTTCTTGATGTAGGGGATCACCCACTGCAGGGCGGGCCCCGTGAGGCGGGTGATGAGGAACGTCACCTTGAGCGCGTCGCTGGAGAACGTCTTCTCGTCCACGAACATGTAGGAGCCCGTCTGCACGATGAACTCCGGCAGCCGGTCGGTGTCGCCGTCAAACGTCTCGGGAAAGGGGATCGGGTTCCTCCAGCGACGCGCCGCGGGCCGCAGCGGCCGGGCCAGCAGGGCCTTCACGAGCCGCATGCGATTGTCCATCGCGCCGAGCTGGCTGGCGGGGCTGCGCGGAAGGCTGCGCTCGGGCGTCGCGGCGAGGACTCGTCGCGGAGGCGGGCCCGGGGAGGGGCGGGTGTGGGCGGAGTCACGCGCCGGGCTGCGGGCGGCGCGCGGGCCCGCCCACCAGGCCGAGCGGTCGGCACGGCGCAGGCGCGTGTCGGGAGCCAGCAGCGGCGGGGGGAGAGGGAGGCGCGGCAGGGGGCGGGATAGGGGCGGCCGGGGGCGTGGCCAGCCCTGGAGGAGGCGGAGTTGGAGGCGGGAGGGGGCGGTCCCAGGCGGGCGGCGGGCGGCGGGCGAAAGGCGGGGAGCCGCGGAGGAACGCGACACCCCAGATGCGTGTGGCGAGGCTGGGGTCTGCTGCTCTTGGACAGCTTCTGGTTCCACTTGGGGAAGTTAGCGAGTCCGGGGGCGTCGCCCTTCGTCCTCCCTCACTCCGCGCCCTTGCGCATCCCTTTGCGGATCTGGGCTCTGGCTGCCTTTTGAGGGAGGGTCTCTGAACACATGGTGCAACTCGGTCGTGTGTCTCAGCCAGAGAGGTGTTGACTCTGCAACATTACAGGCCAACCCCAAGTACTAGCGCAAAGTAATTACACCCTGAGCAGCTACTGTACGGAGGGTTGAATGCAAATAAATACCTTAATTTCCTGCAGTAAAATTCGGTGTGTGATTTACCTAGTTCAATCACTTGTCTATGGCACAATCCTGCCACGAATTATGAAACACGAGACACCTATTATCCCTTCAACACCTGTTTTTCCCCTAAATTTCATACTGTGCTCCTTGCACAGCACGTCAGCAGTTCTGGACTATTTCAAGGACGTGGAAAATGCATGTGTGTGTAACGACAGTGGCAATGCTGTAGAAGGGAGAGGGAGCATGAGGGAAGGGACAGGAGCACAGATGTTCCTGTGCAGGCATGTGGAGCCGGTCCTGATTTAAAAACAGCTTTGCTGGAGAAGGTGACTAGGATGGAGTTTCCAGAAAACTTCCTTTGCCCTAAACGGGGCCTGTCGACCAGACCAGACGTTTGAACGTTAGAGTTAGGAGATACATAAATGACTATAAAAGCAGTAGAAGGGAGAATAATGCTTCCATTTAGCTTCAGTTTGCAGCATAGTCTCTTTAACTGTTGGTAGATCTATATAGACCACTGAAGTACCAGAAGTGCCTTGAAGGATAGTCAGAAAAACACTAAACATTCAACCTATCTATTTTTCTTTTTTTATTTAGTAAATATAAATTTCCAAAGTACAGTTTATGGATTACAATGGCTTCCCTCCCCCATAATTTCCCTCCCACTCGCACCCCTCCCATCTCCCGCTCCCTCTCCCAGTCCATTCACATCAAGATTCATTTTCAATTATCTTTATATACAGAAGATCGATTTAGTATATATTAAGTAAAGATTTCATCAGTTTGCACCCACACAGAAACACAAAGTGTAAAATACTGTTTCAGTACTAGTTATAGCATTACTTCACATTGGACAACACATTAAGGACAGAGATCCTACATGAGGAGTAAGTGCACAGTGACTCCTGTTGTTGACTTAACAAATTGACACTCTTGTTTAGGGCATCAGTAATCACCCTAGGCTCTTGTCATGAGCTGCCAAGGTTTTGGAAGCCCCCTGAGTTCACCGACTCTGATCATATTTAGACAAGGCCATGGTCAAAGTGGAAGTTCTCTCCTCCCTTCAGAGAAAGGTACCTCCTTCTTTGATGACCCGTTCTTTCCACTGGGATCTCACTCACGGAGATCTCTACCTATCTTTAAGAGTAACAGGTCTTCATGGCTAGGAAAATTTTCTAAACAATAGCATGACTCTGGGATGGATCTTTCTAATGTTAAATGTGGGAGAATTGTAATAAAATGTTTACAAGGTGATTTAGAGAGACTAGAAAATTACACAGCGTAGAACACAAATGAATCAAGGCAATACTATTTAGACTATGGGCCCGATAATCCAGTAATTTAAAATAAAGATTTATATTTATTTTTAAAAGCAGAATTACAGAGAGTGGCAGATGCAGTGTGTGTGTATGTGTGTGTAGTGTGTGTGGGGGTGTGTGTGGGTGTGTGTGTGTGTGTGAGAGAGAGAGAGAGAGAAAGAGAGAGAGAGAGAGAGAGAAAGGAGAGAGGGTTTCATCCCGGTCTCCCACATGGTGGCAGGGGCCTGAGGACTTGGACCATCTCCTGCTCTGTTCAATAGCACATTAGCAGGGAACTGGATAGGAAGTGGAGCAGCCGGGACATGAACTGGCACCCATAGCTGATGCATGCATTGCAGGCGAGGTCTTTACCCACTATGCCACAACCCTGGCCCTGAAAACCTAGTAATTTTGAAATCCTCTGGAAACTATGACTCTTATTTATAAGTCATTTATTTGTTATTAGCTTCATACACTGACTGCTTTTCATTCCACAGACTATAGAATCCTACAGCCAGCCCTTAAGCATTCTGTGCTTCATTGTCAATTCTGTTGCTGAAATTTACAGTAATCAATTTGTTCTAGGTAACTGGAAGCTGACAACAAAAGGTGTTTAATCTGGCCCCTGACATTGTTCAATAGTTTTTACTATTTGATGTCTGAGACTGATTTGCTGCATACTCTTTGATTTAATAAAGCCATTAGGAGTTTGTAGTTTTTGTTTTTTAAATGATTCCCCCAAACGGTAGAGTTAGAAACGTGCCAGGGGACTCCAATACAATCCCATCAAGTTGGCATGTACCAATGCCAACTCACTAGTCCAAGTGATCAGTTTCAGTTCACAACTGATCATAATGATAGGTCTAAGAGTCAAAGGGATCACATAAACAAGACTAGTGTCTGCTAATACTAACTGATAGAATAAAAATGGAGAGAACGATCCAACATGGGAAGTGGGATACACAGCAGACTCATAGAATGGCAGATGCCCTAAACAGCACTCTGGCCTCAGAATCAGCCCTTAAGGCATTCAGATCCAGCTAAAAAGCCCATGAGAGTATTTCAGGCATGGAAAGCCAAGACACCCTGGCAAAAAAAAAAAAAAAGGAAGATCTCTGGGAATGAGATCTCAGTGGAAAGAATGATGGGCCATCAAAGAAGTTGGTACCTTTCTCTGAAGGGAGGAGAGACCTTCCACTTTGACTATGACCTTGTCTAAATAAGATCAGAGTTGGTAAACTCAAAAGGCTTCCATAGCCTTGGCAACTCATGACAAGAGCCTAGGGTGATTACTGATGCCATAAATAAGAGTGTGACTTGTTAACTCAACAGCAGGAGTCACTGTGCACTTACTCCCCCCATGTAGGATCTCTGTCCCTGATGTGTTATACAATGTGAATCAATGGTATAACTAGTAATCAAACAGTACTTTACACTTTGTGTTATGGGGGGGGAAAAGCCACTGAATCCAAAAGCTGTACTTTGGAAATTTATATTTATTAAATAAAAGTTAAAATAAAAAATATGTTTTATTATTTTATTTATTTGAATGACAGAGAGAGAGAGAGAGAGAGAGAGAGAGAGAGAGGTAGAGAGGTAGAAAGAGAGAGAGAGAGAGGGAGGTCTTCCATTTGCTGGTTTACTCCCCTGATGGCTGCAATGGGTGGTTGCGCCGATCCGAAGCCAGAAGCCAGGAGCCGCCTCTGGGTCTCCCATGCGGGTGCAGGAGCCCAAGGACTTGGGCCATCTTCTTATTGTTTTCCCAGGCCATAGCAGAGAGCTGGATCAGAAGAGAACTGCCGGGACTAGAACCAGCGTCCATTTGGGATGCCGGCGCCTCAGGCCAAGGCATTAACCCGCTGCGTCACAGCGCCAGCCCCAGGAGTTTGTACTTCTTTCAAAACAGTTGTACATCCTGCACATCTTTATGACTAGTAAACTGAACGCTGCCTGTTTTGATAGAGTAAACCTGAATCTTTAGCACTCTGGGCCACATGGGTTGGATGATGAACTTCCATTCTGACTTCCAATGACCGTTCAAGATGTTTTTACATTGAAACTGGGGGTTTTCAATATATGCCATAACAGTCTATTGCTCATCTATCGTTTTAGAAAAACAGTAGAAAAGCCTCTGGAACAGTGGTTTTTCACACAGGCTCTTAAAGCAGGGTCCTAGAATTTTCTTCACAACTTCAGGCCCCCATCTACTTTTGCCTTGGGAGTCACTTGCTTGTTTTCATAAGTGATCAAACTTAAAGGAACAGTTTTTTTTCGTGGATCTAAAACCTGCTATTAGCTATGTTCGATAATCAAGATCTGATCTTCATGCCCTTTATCTTTCCAGCTATGGAATGATCCAGATTATACTGGGCAAATAGATGTGCCACTCCTTCCTGGAGGTTAATTAGCCAGGCATCATGCAATATTTCATTGAATTCACGAGGGGTGAATTTAGCAGCTCCCATAACTTCTCATCTGACACCCAAAACACAAAGCTGACCTTCTTGGACTGTTTTTATTTTTTTTAATTTTATTTCTTTAGGTTCTGCAACATGAGCGTTTCTTTATCTACCTAATTATTTTATCAATGAAAGCAAGCTTATTACAATAATTAATAAAGGCACAAAGATACATACAATTGTAATGATATTTTATGGTTTGCAAGTATCTTCTATCAAGCTCAGAAATGAAATTTACAGTCTCAGATGATAATTAATCCTCCGCCTAGCGGCACCGGCACACCGGGTTCTAGTCCCAGTTGGGGCGCCGGATTCTGTCCTGGTTGCGCCTCTTCCAGGCCAGCTCTCTGCTGTGGCCAGGGAGTGCATGGAAGATGGCCCAAGTGCTTGGGCCCTGCACCCCATGGGAGACCAGGAAAAGCACTTGGCTCCTGACTCCTGCCATCGGATCAGTGCGGTGCGCCGGCCGCAGCACACCAGCCGTGGCGGCCTTTGGAGGGTGAACCAATGGCAAAGGAAGACCTTTCTCTCTGTCTCTCTCTCTCTCACTGTCCACTCTGCCTGTCAAAAAATAAAAAAAATCTTCCATTTTAAATTTAATTTTTTCTATTTAAAATTTTCTATTCACATTAAGGCTTTTGTACCAACTTTCTTACTCTGAGGCAGGACACTATGTGTC